AGGGAAAGAAAAAAAGGCCTAAATTATATATATAGAAAAGACAGTAACGTTGATTGGTTAAAGAGATAGACACAAAAGGCCTATCTTCGGATAATTTAAGATCAAGATTTTTGGTTTTTTATTTTATTTTTAAGATCGTGGCATAGTGATTTTTGTAATGAATTCTTTGTCTCAGTACCAAGATTCCATATTTTGTGCGCGCACCTGTCGCTCTTGTGATATTTTATTTGTGATATTTTATCTGCCTATTAAATTTATAAAATATTTAGTGGATCTAGAAATAAATTATGATGTGTGTAAATTAATTTGAATATTCTAAGTTATAAAAGAAAATGAGATTTTTGTACTTTTAAAAAATAAAAAAGAATACTGATTGGAGAAGAGTATCCAATCTTAACAAAAGAAACCCATCCTAAACTCAGAGGTGGTTTTTTTTTTAGTCTATTTATCTATCAAGACCCTTCAGGCCACTTCTTTTTGGGCCGATCTGTTTCATAGTCAAGGTTGGCCCTATATCAAGATCTTCTAAAAAGATCTCATATTAAATGAGTCGTTTCAAGCTATCATTTTTTTTTTAAATAAAATACTGATTTTATAAAATCTAGCTCAAGGAAAGCTGATCAAATTTGATAATTTTAGTATTTCATAAATTATTTACAATTCAGATTGTATTGATTATACATATATAAAACATCTTTTTCATTTTGAAAGTTTGAGAATATTCCATGTAAAGGAAAAAAAAACCCGCTTCAACATTTCATATGTGTTTGAAATTATAATTGTTGTTGGTTTTTACTTTTTATTTAAAAATATATCAAAATAATATATATTTTTTATTTTTAAAAAATTATTTTTAATATTAGAGCACTAAAATGATTTGAAAATATTAAAAAAATATTAAATTGTAATTAAAAAAAATTTTAATTTTAATTTTTTTAAAAATACTTTAAAAATACAAAAATAAACAAGTTTTGCTATTTTTTTTTTAAAGCTATTCCAAGTTCATTGAAGAGCAAGATGGTTCTGCAAGTCAAGTGTCAGTTCCTTTTTTGGCTTCTACGTGGTTGGTTGCAAGCAGGTATGAAACATTGCAAAGCATGAAGAGCATTTACTATTAACAAAGAGAGTTAACGCCACAATTGTTGATAAAGTAGGATTTTTAATTACAGTTACGTTACATGGCTAGTAGTTCTCCATTGGAAACAAGAGGTCTGCCAATGGTGGAAATTGTTCATTACAGTAAACACCTGATCTGGGTGCTTGTAAGTGATTCCTCAATAGGCAACGTAGTTAGGTGGATTCAACTTGGTCCTTGGATTTTTCTTTCTTTCCTCCAAATAAGCCTGGTCTGTAACCATCCTCTAGCAGCTTCTCCACCTCCTCAAATTGCAGGCCTTTAGTTTCAGGGACTAGGAAGTAGATGAATATGAGGCTTATGGTGGAAATTCCGGCGAATACGAAGAATGTGCCACCGGCACCAAGAGCTTCCGTGAGACTTAAGTAAGACTCGCTCACGATCAGATTTGAGCACCAATTGGCCACAGCAGCAATGCCTCCACCAACACCTCTATATCTCAACGGATAGATTTCTGAGTTCACAATCCATGGTACGGTTCCCATTCCAGGTGAATAGGAAATGATGTATAGTCCAAGGAGTATAACAGCAAGAAATCCGAACTTGCTTGGGCAACCCTTCTCGAAGAACACACGATTTTCAGCACGGCATTCACCCCTTACAACCTTGGATGAATCCAGGCAGGCCCCCGGATGGAACTGACAGTGTAAGAAATAAATATCAATACCAGTTTGACAACATGAAAACTTCAAAGGCTATAAAGCAATCAAATTAACAGTAACATTTCACTTAATGTGGCAAGGAATCATTCAAGAAAATTATGCAATGTATTGCTGCAGGGCTGAGAAAGGTGAATGAACTTACTTCGCTGGCTGCATTAGCACAGAAAGCACAATCTGCTTTCAAGCAAGTCATACAGCTCCACCTTGGTGCATCTGGGGCTGTCAGGTATGCTGAGCAACTAGAGTTTGAGCCAAAGTGAGCTGACTCGATTCCACTGATTTTCGGAGCATGGCTCGAAGCTTCCATAAATACAACTGATAAGATCACGAGGAAGAAAATGATTCCAATCATTGAAACAAGCATCAGCCTTCTCCTTCCATATCTGTCGACAAAACACATGCTAACAATGGAGCCAACAGCATTCAGGCCAGAAGTGATGAGAGAGAGTGCCAATGCAACAGAGTTCGAAGCAAATCCAGCAAACTGCACTATGGTCGGGGCATAGTACATGACTGTATTTATACCCACAAATTGCTGAGCAACTTGGACAGTGATACCGGCATAAAGTCCCCTGCGAACTACACGGTTTTTCAACGCACCCTTCACTTTAGTTATCATGCCCTCTCCAAGGGCAGCTTCATCAGCCTTCTCAGTGTCAACGGATAGTTTCAAGGCATTTAACTCATCTTCAACCTCATTTGCAGGATAGATTTTCTCCAAGATTGCCCTCGCCTCATCTACCCTATCCTGAACAAAACGTAAACAAATAGATTAATGGTTACGAGCATATAATGTTCGTCTTCTTAAGGAAGATTAAACTACATTGCAGTTGCAAAAATGTGTCTTTAAATAGGGAGAATCCATCAAAGATAATATCTACAGCCTAGTTACTCTGAGACATCACAAAGATCCACAGGGTCATGACTAGTCTCCGAGGACAGCATGAGTTTTGCGAGATAGGTTTTATGTCTTAGAATAGATATAACTATGTGGGAAATTTCTCTAAGAAGCAAGATCAGAACCTTTCTGTAGAGCCATCGGGGAGACTCGGGGAGTGAAAGCATCAACACAAACTGAACCAAAGCTGGGATTCCAGCAACTCCGACCATCCATCGCCAGGTTCCAGGAGCCTGAAACATGATTTTGCAACCTTAAAAATCCTGTTAACTTTGAGAGGTCTGGGAACAAGTAGTGATTGCCAGTACACATACCTTGGTGAAAGCAAGATTGATTAGATAAGACAAAAACTGCCCTCCAGTAATCAAGAATCCATTTGTGCTAACTAGTGCTCCTCGAATTCTTGCAGGTGAAGCTTCTGAAATGTAAAGAGGAGCGGTCATGGATGCCATTCCCACTCCCAAGCCAACCAGAATCCTTCCGATAATAATAACCCAAGGATTTGGAGCTACAGCCATGACAATTGCGCCGAAGAAGAATAAGATATCAGCACCTAAAATTGCCACTCTCCTGCCCCACCTGTCATTCATATATCCACCAAATGCAGCACCAATAATAGCTCCAGCGACAGCCATACTCACGATGGTTTCCTGCACGATACAAAACAACCTTATCAAAGCATGAACATAGGCAACGTACAAAAATCTCTTGACCCTCTCTCTCAAGAAACTTAGTATGTCATATCCTAACTCGCCTGCATCCATGTATTTTTGTCAACATCTTCGAAGTCATCACGAATATAAAGCAAGGCGCCAGAAATAACTCCTAAAAATTTCCATAAGAAACAATTAATTATGAACTTTCCCCAAATCAATAACACATACCTTAGATAACAAATTAAAGCAAACTTATTACGGTAACGTTATGAGACAGATACAGAGATAGTAGAGACAAGGGGGACATGCCCCTTGTCGTTCCTTTTTTTGAAAGGAAGGAAATTCACTCAAAAACTGTCTCTGTCCTCGTCCTTTAACCAAATAATTTTTATCCGTTCTGTGCATGTCTCCTGAACACTAACCAAATGCAACATAAGAGACAAAATAAGC